CCAGGATACTTTACAGTTCCTAACCCATAACCCAAGGATTCAGTTCCTTAAAAATACACGTGTGAGGCGTATTATTATCAGTGCTCACATATACCAGAAAGGTCAGGTTCAAGTCTATTGATGATCCTCAACAAAAGTTGAAGGAGATAGCGAGGTTCCTGAATAAGTACGGTATGCGATTAAAAGTCGTAACACCCTTACTTAGAGACAGCAATGTTTCTTAATACTATTTGTGACCCTACTAGATCACACCCAAAACCCCTTATGAATATCTAACAAACCTGATATACATATACGTCCGAAAAAGTAAGGTAAAAGTCCGCCTATGATACTCAACATATATATGTTGAAGGAGGTAGCGCCTGAACAAGTAAGATCTTGAAAGCTGTGAAACTTGAAGAGAACCTGTATTAGAAAAGTAGGTAAAAGTTTATCAATGATAGCCAACTCTAAAGTTGACTTAGATAACACCTACTGACTATAATGCAGACTTTGATTGTTTTACAGAATGAAATCACTTCATGATTTCTTTACAAACACCCAAAGTTCCTTTGAAAAGAACTTTAAAAAATTTCTCTATGTCAGAAAGTCGGATGTGTTGAAGATGGCCAACCGCAAGGTTGAAGCTTAGACACGTTCTGATGATTATGATATTAGATACAAAGATTGTTTATGCAAGTAAACAATCTTTATTTTTCAGCGTCAGAGACAAAAAACTCTCGGACATTTTAACAGTAATACACTTCATGAGATGTTTACAAACAACCAAAGTTCTTTATACCATTTGAAAAAAGAACTTTAAAGAATTCTATGTCAGAAAATCAGATATGTTGAAGATAGCCAACTGCAAAGTTGAAGCTTAGACATAAACTGATGATTACGGCATGAGGAGGAAAGATTGTCTACGTAAAGTAAACAATCTTAAATTTTCAACGTCAGAAACAAAAATCTTCAGACACACCACAACAATCACTCTTCTTAAAAAGTGAAAACAAGAATCAAAAATTATTTCGACCTGAAGAAATATTTTTGAAATTTCTGTGTCAGAAATATCAGATATGTTGAAGATAGCCAACTGCAAGGTTGAAGCTTAGACATAGACTGATGAGTATGACATGGGAGAAAAGATTGTTTACTTGCGTAAACAATCTTAATTTTTCAATGTCAGAGACAAAAATTCTCAGGCACACAACAACAATCACTCTTCTTAAAAAGTGAAAACAAGAATCAAAAATTATTTTGACCTGAAGAAATATTGTTGAAATTTCTGTGTCAGAAATATCAGATATGTTGAAGATAGCCAACTGCAAGGTTGAAGCTTAGACATAGACTGATGAGTATGACATGGGAGAAAAGATTGTTTACTTGCGTAAACAATCTTAATTTTCAGCGTCAGAGACAAAAATTCTCAGACACACAACAACAATCACTCTTCTTGAAAGTGAAAACAAGAATCAAAAATTATTTCGACCTGAAGAAATATTTTTGAAAAATTTCCGTGTCAGAAATTTCAGATATGTTGAAGATAGCCAACTGCAAAGTTGAAGCTTAGACATAGACTGAAGATTATGACATGGGAGAAAAGATTGTTTACGTAAAGTAAACAATCTTTATTTTCAACGTCAGAGACAAAAATTCTCAGACACACAACAACAATCACTCTTCTTGAAAGTGAAAACAAGAATCAAAAATAATTTCGACCTGAAGAAATATTTTTGAAAAATTTCCGTGTCAGAAATTTCAGATATGTTGAAGATAGCCAACTACAAAGTTGAAGCTTAGACATAGACTGATGAGTATGACACGGGAGAAAAGATTGTTTACGTAAAGTAAACAATCTTAATTTTTTCAACGTCAGAGACAAAAATTCTCAGACAAACCACAACAATCACTCTTCTTGAAAGTGAAAACAAGAGTCAAAAATTATTTTTGACCTGAAGAAATATTTTTTGAAAAATTTCTGTGTCAGAAATTTCAGATATGTTGAAGATAGCCACCTGAAAAGGTTGAAGCTTAGACATAGACTGATGATTACGACATGGGAGAAAAGATTGTCTACGCAAGAGACTGTCTACTTGCGTAAACAATCTTGTTTTTTCAACGTCAGAGATAAAAATTCTTAGACACACCACAACAATCACTCTTCTTAAAAAATGATAGCAAGAACCCAAAGTTCTTCAGAACTGAAAAAGAATTTTTTGAAAAACTTCTGTGTCAGAAAGTTCAGATATGTTGAAGATAGCCAACTGCAAAGTTGAAGCTTAGACATAGACTGATGATTCTGACATGAGGAGAAAAGATTGTTTACCTGCGTAAACAATCCTTATTTTCAACGTCAGAGACCAAAATTCTCAGACACACTACACCGACAAACACCTATGAGGAGAGACACTCCAAGCATCTCTATCTATAATACTGACAATTGATAACCTGAATACTGACAATTGATAACCTGTCTGCCTCAAGGAAAAGCGCACCATAGCATTGAAAAAATTAGATTGATCAACCAAGAGAAATCTCCCACAAATAATGGAAATATAACACCAGGATAGGAAGAATCACACATGACTCATATAACAATACACAGAGGTGTATATATTAGGTTGGACACAACGACACATCACTTCAAAGAAGATTGAAGACAAAACAAAAGAGGAAGGAAGGTGATATCCCTGTAATTCCCAACTATGCCAAAATTCTCCCTATGTCTCTACACCTATGCCCTATGCCCCCTCCTCTTTGACTAATGCGCTCCCTACGCAAATATACTTATCACGAATCATATGAGTGTATAGTTGCATTAGTCCTTACAACTCCTAGAACTATAATTCTGGAAACAAAAAACTTAAAAACAAACTGATGAAATAAACCTTGTGATGAGCAATAAAAATTGGACTGACTTGGACACATAAACAACACCCCTGTAAGGGATAAGAATTATCCCCCTCTACATGAATTAAAAACTCATGTACCACCTATACGAACATATGCCCCAAAGGGAAACTCACCTAAAAAACTGCCCTGAAAGGACAGTAAAGAACCCATACCACCACATCCTAAGTTTACACAAAGCCAAACCTAAATCCTATGTACGCACAAATGAAATGATACATGGCACACAATAAAATACAACAATAAAAAGACCACATATGATATCACTACATATCACACCAGAAAGCCTTAAGCAGGTAGTAATGGATCCATACACCTACATCCTGAGACTGCACAAGAAACCACTAAAAATCTCACATATACATATGAAATTACACATGATACACAATAAAAACACAAACCAGAACCAGGTGCGGTATCACTACATGTTACACCAAATAGTCATGGACAGTTAGTAAAGAACCCGTACAACCAAACACTGAGATCATACAAAAGACCACCAGAACCCCACATGTACACATGAGATAACACAGGTTATATAAACTAAAAACACATATCAGAATTAAAGATAATACCACTACATCTCACACCAAAGAGCCCTAGACAGGTAGTAATGAACCCATACCACCACACCCTTAGACTACACAAAAAACCCACCATAATTTTACATATACATGTGAAATAGCATATGATAAACAACAAAACACATAGCAAAACCATATATGATACTGCTACACAATACACCAAAGAACCTCAGAAAAGTTGTAATAAACCCATGACAATATGTCCTGAGATCACACAAAGAACCATCAGAACCTTACATGTACACATAAAATAGCACATGATATACACTAAGAACGCATACCAAGACCAAGGATGTTATCACTACATACCACACTATAGAACCCTGGGCCAACGGTTAAGAACCCGGACCACTGCGCCCTAAAATTACACACAAAACCACCTAAATCATACATATACACGTGAAATGACACGTGGTATACAATAAAACACGAACTAGAACCATGTACTGTGCCATTACATATTGCATCACATAGCCCTAGACGGGTAGCAATAAACCCATACTACTATGCCCTAATATAACACAGGGGGCCACCAGAATCCTACATATACACATGGAATCACACATGGTACACACAAAAAACATATAACAGGACCACCACGCCCTGAAGCTACATATAAAACCACCTAGATCTTACATATACATATGGAATTACACGTGAAACACACAAAAAAGGCGGAACAGGACCAGGCATGGTACCGCTACATATTACACAAACACACATCTAGGTTTATCAAACCTAAGTAACTCATTATAACATATCTAAACCTATCAACCGGTACCAGACAGCTAAGAGTACCGGTACAGCGCGTACGAAAGCAATAGACCTAACTACACCACAGTGTAACACAAATAAACCTATCAACCGGTACCGTACGGGCCAGACAGGGCCACGAACTGTCCAATATACATCCCAGACTGATATCCAGCACACAGACCAGTCAAGCCACCCTCACACCCCCATTACCACGATCGATATCACGATCAAGCCACTCTCACTGCTCTCAAGCTCAGAAACTCAAGGATTCCTAGTTTACTATTGATTCCAAACGAAAACTCAAGAGAAGAAGCTCACCTACCATCAAACTGGATTTAATGGAATTCAAACTCACAAATCAAACCCGATTCGGATTTAATTCATAATTCAAACTAATCACATCAAGCATCAATCAATTCATTTCTTTAAGAATTATCAATAGCTAATAGAATCAAGATAGGACTCAAATCAAATTCATTATCTGATCACCTATCATCCAACTGAAGTTGTTTCAACTAAACTTTCAAATCAAACCCGATTCGGATTCAAATCACAATTCAAACTAATCACATCAAAGAGTCTTCAGTTCATCTTTTCTTAACCTATCAATACCCTTATAGAATTACATGAGGATTTGAATCAAGCTCATTAAAAATGAACAATCACGCTTAGACCTCATTTTCAAAAAGAAATTCAATGCTCAAAATAACTTATGTACACGATCAATTAAGAAAACCAGACGTGGACTGCTCAAAGAATCACCCCACCATGATTTTATCAACTCATCTGTGCGCTCTAGATCGAGAATCACACTCGAATCAATCTTTCAGATACTTTAAAGACTACACATGGGTTAGTACACCTACCTTTCCCCTTTCAGCGATCCACATTCCTAATAATCTAGTCAAGAACTAACTTACCTTGCTTATCTCTCTTTTCATCTTTGAAAATACACAATAACACTACATTCATTTAACTATAAAACCCAATCTGTTCACACTAATATACCTATCTTTAATTCCAATTCTCTCAAATCGAATTCCAACTACAATCATTCTTCTAATTTCTCTTGAATCTAAAAATTCTTCCTCTTTAATAGATCAAATCTTCTCACGCTCGATCAAGGATCAGTAACTCTCATTACTTTATTAAACCACTATCCAACAATAAAGCTCTAGGAATTCGATTCAGATTGATCAGCAATCATAATCTCCATAACTTATCAAAGTGAGTTGGCTTATATAAGAAAATGACCGTATCAATCATATAAAACTAACCAAAGTCTTGTTTAATTTGTTTAATCAGGCTAAGACAACTTCAACCTATCAATCGAGACCGATCAATTCCTCTAAAGGTCAATAACACAAAGTACCAGTAAGTCTTTTTCTCAAAGAATCAAAAGATACAAACTTTAACACTGATTAGTTGTTCTCTACCTTCTAACATCACTATCATCTATTGCAGTTTAAACTCAATGGCTCCTATCACTCCTTCCTCCAACAAAGGATCGAACAAGAAAGCTAGATCCAGTGCTAACAAGAAGGCTAATGAGCTTAACACGCCCTTACTCGAGCGTCGACTTTCAAAAGGGGTTCTTAACCCCAAATCCATCTTATCTAAAGGTTCTTCAGCCCTCGAATCAAACAATCAGCCTTCTATGTTTAACAATGATGAAGATGAAGAGATGGATACCTCACCGGACGATCCTAACACTCAATCAGTTCCTACTAACTTCACCGATCCACCTCTTGACTTGAATCAAGAAGAACTAACTTTACCTGATAAAATCAACTCTAAGAAACGGACTTTATCTGAATCAACCAAATCAAAATCAACTACTGTCAACTCAGAAGATGAAGATGAAGAACAAAAGACTGACGATGACGAAGTCGATGAAGAGAATTCAAAGAAAGTTGAACTTGAGCCTGAAATTATTGATAAGGCTACTGGAACTGCGATTATTGGAGGACATGTTATGATCCCTGCTACTTCTGATATGCCTTTATCAGCTTATCGTAAGACCTTCTCTATTCAAGGATACCAAAAACAAAGAACACTAATCTTACCTTTGTTCTGCCTCTCTTTCTTGTCTTTTTCTTCGATAAGCACGTGCCGGTGAATTAGATCTTTTCACGATCAATCCTCTCCTCCAACTTCGAAAGCCTGGTCTTGCTCCCACAGCCAACCTACCCTTTGAACTCCAGCTTTGGTGGAACCTATACTCCGATACTTACGTTTCTGAATCAGACATTTCCTTATGGGCGATGGTGAAGGTTTTAAACGAAGGGCGTACTATCAATCACGCTGAAATAATCAAGTCATCATTATCTCATGTCTTAACTTACTTAGAACTAATCACAGGACCAGGCAAATCTCAATTTTATCTCTTTCGCTTCAAGACTGCTCTTACTAAAGACAACTTTCGCAAGAATACCCGCCTTGATCGTGGTATCTTTATTTCCATCAATGGACCAATCAAGAATAGCTTCATCATTTTCAACTTAGACCCTGTTTCAAAATTAACTCCAATCATGAACAGCTTACTTGTCTCAGTCTCAGGCCTCCCTTTTCATCTTCGTCATAAGAACATCTGTGAAGAAGTATTTAATGGTTTAGCAGCTCACAAATCAAACGACTGTCTCGAAATCGCCTCTATTCGTGAACCAAACACTTCACCTACTTTCACTCACTACAACAAACGAGTCTTTGAAATTCAATTCGAAAGAAAAGCTGCTGCTCATTGGTTTAATGCTCTATCTCAAGAAAAAGGAAATTTATTGATTACTCCTTGGAACAAGAAAGGTGATGAATTTAAGAATCGTACTAAAGTAACTAACTGGAAGTTTATCCCTGCATGCCACATATGTGGAACCTCCTCCTACGATGGTTCCCATCGAACTAAGTGTCCTTATGTCACCATTAGAGATGATCTCCAACGAATTATTGAAAGCTCTTACACCAATCGATCTCCAACTGATCTTACCAACGAATCTGACAACTTTGCTGCAGGCGCTTCATCCTCTCAACCTAAGATGGCTAAAGTAGGTAAATTTACTCGACATGAATGATCATAATGACTTTGTAAGTTAGCAAATCACTTATAAAAACATCTTCTAATTCATGCCTTTGTATCAATACTCATCTAAAGATTGATTCTCTTGACAACACAGAAACTTCATGCAAGACTTGCATACACTTATCAAAATTAATCCCAAATTGGAACCACTGCTCAAATGCTAAACTTTTAATTTAGCTATCTTTATCTTCTTCTTTCTTTTAAGAAATCTCAAATCAAATCACTAATACCTTATAGACTCTAAATGATCAAACTACAAAAACGATTGACTTTGTGCGCTTTTTTTTCTTATAATCAGAAAAATTATTTAAACCAAACAAAAAAAGACTTGTTTCCTTTTTAAAAAGATTGTGTGCGCTTATATTAAGTTTGAACCACTTTGTTATTTAGAGGTTATACTTCTCAAATCCCTTCTCTAGAAATTCTTCTTCCAGAAAACTTAGGAAAAAACTTTGAAATTTACCTCTGCTAGTAAGAACTGAAAACTACAAACTGAGGTGCCTGCATCCATAAATCTGAGAGTTGCCAAAGAAGTGTGAGAGTTAAAAAATGCAGAGACTTTGCAAAATCAAATTGTCCAGAAGAATAAGATAACAATGAGATGACTAAGTATTCAATTTTTCTTAAAACAGAAAGAATATCAATAGAGAAACAAAACCAAAATGGATGAGACATGATACGCGTCAGCATAAAATACATATATGCATGTACATATGTGTATACAGACAGACATATGTAAAACTACAAAATTATATACAGAAGAAGAGAGATAGACAAGATGTTGCGCTCAAAAGCAAACATCGTAATCATGACACGTGTTACTAATAGAACTTCCAGAAGCAGTTACACTATACCTATGAATGTGCAAGTTACTGACAAAAATACATAATAAAACTGTGGGTATACCCAGGGGCGCAAATAAGAGAAGTGATAAAGACGCAAATAGGTGTACATATGAATGCACTATGTAAACAATATATAAAGATGAAGTAGAAACAATGGTACAAAAGATAGACAAAGTCACAAAAGAATAATTCCCAACCACAGGCAGGAAAAATTAACATGTAGCATAACAAAAACCAAGCTCAAAACACAAGTGATAAACATAATCACATTGAATAAGAACCCAAATGTGTAGGGTATAGAACCAACAAGAAATGCACAAGCGGGACATCTCTGGGCCACCCAGGAGGGCTTTGTACTCCTGGAACTCAAATGCAACTATGAAGAATACACCCGTACAATCAAGTTGTCCGGGATTGGGTGTGATGAGCCCCGGCTCCCTGTCAGTTGTGGAGGGACTGAACTTGTACAATGAATTTCCTCCGCCTTCAGTTGTCTGTCCGTCCAGGGACACTGTTGGGACTAAAGTTACTGTGGAAACCAACGCTCCTTGCTCCCCGAAGGATGATGTGTTGGTCAATAATGTTACTTTGGGGGTTGATTCTTCTTTGGTGCCCCAGGAGGAAGGATCAACTAAAATTACTGGCAAAACCAAAACTTGTTCTCACATTTTTAAAGAACACACTTCTGATTCACGGCTATTACCGGAGTCAAACCAAAAATCAACCTTAATAGTTGAAACACCTACTTCCGCTGACCAGGAAAAAAACATGGTTACAATTGACACAAATGCAATCCACCCAATGAGGATGCAAAACTTGAACAAAAAGGAAGAAATCCTGATAAAAGGTGGTAGAACCTACCGCTCAACAAATGTTAAAACAAAACTAACCGGCAAACAACAACGTGAGCGCCGTGACAAATACAAAATTGACAAAGAGATATCAAACAAAAAACAGAAAAGGATAGACACCCTTTACGAGTGTAGAAAAATAAGACAAGGAAAAGCAAAGAGGCTTTATATTCAAAGTGATATTGGAAGAATTATCCGTCACACCGAACTTGATGACGAGATCTTACATAATGACATAACCACAAATAGTCTGCACATACCTATTGCTGAGTCATCAAGAATGGCACAGGAAAGACAAAGAGTAATGGAAAAGCAACCATTGATTCCACGAGATAGACGCGATGGCGGAATGCTAACACGACGAGAACTACTTGACAAACTCAAGTTAAGAACTATACAGGCCAGTGAAAGCCCGCAAGCCCATGCTCACAAGTCCAAAGGCAAAGGACGTGAGATGAACCATGATGTACCATCAGAGGAATACGCTGATGAACAGATGCACTTCAATGAAGCAGATGAAAATCAACAAGACCTTACCAGTCCAATACGCGGACCACCAAATCAATCAAGCTCACAAGGGCTAGACAACACCAGGATGAACATAGACACCTTAAACACAAGTATGAAGGATAAAGACAATATGTCCAATCACGATAATCCTCGGGCTCGAACTCACGAGAGTCACGAAATTGAAATGAATGAACCAGACCATCTCCCAACTAGGATATCACGACGTAATATCAACAAAACATTAATGCATAAAGACGACCCAACCTCAAATCATAGTCAAATATCTTCAAGATATGATGAGAATGAAATGGATATTGAGATACCTCCAGTATCGCCAAAAGCAAATGCTACACCTTCCTACGCAGACATAGTACGGAAACATCATCCATCACCTATCGTGTCAACATTGACATGTAACAAAAATATGAGACAAACAATTATAAAAAATAACATCCGTAACTCTGTAAGGATGACCCTCAATAACACTGGCAACTGCACACCAGCAGATGTATGGATAATACTGAGACATAGACTCACAGCAGCGCAATGCCAAGAAGTAGTAAGTGTCGTCAAAAGACGCAATATATTTCAGCAACCAGGATTTGACATATGTGTCACACCACACATCGCAATGGGCTTCACAAAAATGATGCAACTCACAAGTCAGGAGCGCTTTCATGGAACAAAAACCATATACTGCCGTAAGACAAAGAAACCCTGGCAAAAAGGGGATGATAACACACAATGCTTTAACATCAGAAAGTGGCGCATCAACCTATATAAAAAATACCGGGATGAATTACCCAGTTTTAAAAAACCAGTCCCAGAACCTCCCAAGGAGGACAAAATAAGTGGAGGGTACACGTCCCTACTTGCATGGAATGCCCAAGGCTTCAACACAAAAGCCACACAGTTAGAATCTCTAGCAGAACAAGTCACTGCAGGAGTCATAGTAGTTGGGGAAACCCGCAGAACTGAATGGCGATATGAGCCAAAAATTGAGGGATACAGAACATTTTCTCACCCTGCAACCACAGGCTTTTATGGACTGTGTATGATGGTCAGAAATGACATAGGCGCATATGAAAAACCTATGGAAGACCCAAGGATACAATATCTTGTTGTAACCAAACTTGAACCAAACAGCCTATGGCACATCTTTGGCGTATATTTACAGTCCGGGTCAAATAAGAGACAACACCGGAAGACACAACTTAAGCCTGTATGGACTAAGATAAACAGTCTACTAGACAATGATGCAAATTGTAAGATAGCAATTGGAGGAGACTTCAACATGACCACCATTCAACTATCAAAAGAGGCCCTCAAGAAAACTGGAGGGCGTATGACCATCAAAGAATGTAGTGGGTCTAACCTGACCCGTCTACCAAACACAGGAAAGCCAAGTGACATTGATCATTGGCTAATATCACCTGCAGTGAAAGATATTACCTGCAAAGCAAAAGTCAGTAGACACATGGCCTTACAATATAAGGGCACAAGTGATCATGCAGCCATCAGCATGAAAATACGTAAAAATTTTACAGAACCTACTCCCCCAAAACTAAGATGGGACTTGAAAGCTATTAAAGGTCATGGAACAGATATCCTGACTGACGGAGCGTGGAAGACATTCCCATCATCAGGAACTCTGAATGAAAAAGCTGAATCATGGCGATCAAACTTGGCAGAAGCTGCAATCAAATGGGGGGCTATCAAGCATGCAAAACCTCCCAGATCAACTCACTTTCCACGACAAGTGGCAAAACTAATAAAAAAGGCCAGATCAACAAGGCTTGACTATACTGAAACACTCAATAAAGGCTGCTCACTAGAAGAGTTAACCAAAAGATCCAACTATGCTGACAAAGCAGAAAGACTTGCAAAGAAAGCAATTAAAAAATTTGAAACAGCTAGGGAGACCAAAAAGACTGCCCAAACAAATAAATATCTTGTAGAGAATGAGATGCTGGACTTTCACACAGCTATTAAAGCCGCCCTACCAGATCATCTTGGCAAAAAACAAAGCCAACCCATGCCATGCAAAGACAAAAGCGGAAACCTTTGCATTAATAACAAAGACATAGCACAAGCTGAATATGAACATTTTAGCACACTATCAAAAGATTCTACAGGAGTCTCTCAAGACCCAACTTTTTGGGAAAACCTGACCTGTGATGATGAACCCATCCAGGAGCTTGACATAGGAGGTGAAATCACCTCTCAAGAATTCCTCACTGCATGCAGCAGGATGAATAAAAATGCCGCCCGTGGGGAAGACAACATCCCACCAGTGATCTTTAAAGAAATTCTGAAATTAGAAAGAGCACAATATTTCATGGCAAGTAAAGCAGCCAAGAAAAACAAGCAACAAAAGAAGAGACCAAAACTCTCAATCATGCAATATGAAAGTCCTGAGAACAAAAAGGACGCATCCCTAGTCAAACACATAGAGATAGACCAACATACCCCCTGGGAATGGGACACAGCCCCAGAACTTACAAAACCAACCAAAACCCGATTGAATACAAACCATGACACCTTTACAACACCCTCAGGAACATTCTATGACCCTCTAGACCATGTATATCAACCAGTACCCATAAGGGAAATGACTCAAGAGCTGAAAACACCAGCTGGAAAGCAGGCACTCCAAATTCTCAACCAAATGTTTGAGGAAGGTACCCCCGCAGACATTGACTTCAAAAATGTGGTCATATCACTTAGCAAACCTGGAAAAAGCCCAATAGACCTGAATAACAGGAGAGGAATTACCCTCTCCACAG